GCCTGAAATGCTGAATTGAGATTTGGTTGTAAATCAAACAAAGAATAACAGGCAGAATTTTTTTGCTTTTTTATGTGTAGAGTTTCTATTTAAAATAGTTTTCATTGTGGAAAAAGGTACATTTTTTATTGAAATATATCTCCCTTACAGCAGTTTTTACAGTGAACTCTCTCCACAGATTTTTATAGAATCTGTTGGCCCCTACTCCTGTGCTTGAAAGGCAAGACTCCATATTGAACCAAAATGATGAAACAGCACCTCACTTGTATTAAGACTCATACGATTTTTAACAATGTTTCTCAGTGGAGCATCAAGTCTCTATATTTGGAGTATTTGTATTTGAAAAATTCCTAACAAAAACATGCTCGGGAGGAAGATACTTTTTACTATCAAATTAACTGTCATTCCTGTGTAGTGGATTAACTTCAAGGCCATATATTTGTACCACCAGCGTAGGCGCTGGAGGTACCCATGGTTTTAGTCCCGACCCGTATGTTCCGCCGGCTCCTGCGGCTCCTGCGGCTCCGCCGGCTCCTGCGGCTCCGCCGCCAAGTCACCGTTACCGCTTCTCCTCCTAGACGGTAAGGGCCCCTTGACCCATCTCTTGGATTTAGGTCACCTATAATCTCAACTCGTTCCACGTAAAATTTGGGCTTTGTCGGTATTGGGGTATAGGTGTGGCACTCATTGCAATGCACCCTTGTCTAAAAATGGCAAAATTAAATGCTAATTATCTACCCTACGGAAGGAGTTATGGGAAAAATTTCTACAGACAGCTTTCCAAAAGTCATATGTGTAGATTTCAAATATGCCCTTGGATTTGACCTTTGACCTTTATTTCAAGGTCAAACGGGCCAAAATTTTCAAAAAAATGAAATTTTTTACAAAAAAAATTTTTTTTGCCCTGTTATTCAGACACCACACTGACTTAACCAATAATATTATTGGAAAGTGTTACCCTTCGGGTCATCTTTCATCTCCGTGAATTTGGGGTCAATCGGTGCATTTTCACGGGAGTAGCGGCCATAAAGTACCGAAACTGAAAACTGTCTCTAATTCGGGAACCGTTAATGCTAGAGACCCATTCTTTTTTGCATTTTGTAGAGCATGTAAAGCCCAACACTGGAGGTGGTCTCCATTTTTTTGTATTCCATACGGTTTTCAAGTTATGCTGTATCAAAAAGTACATAATGGTGGTGAAAGCAAAATGTGCAGTACGGTAATGGATAATAAATTTTGAACTCTGGAAAAATAATACATAAGGCTTGGCAAAGCAGACAACTTGTGGTCAAAAATGACATTATTTCATCAAATTTGAACTTCTGGAACTTCAGAGCACCTCCTATTTTAAGAATTTTGACCAAAATGATGTTTTCTTTATTTTAATTAATCTTTTCTGTAGGAAATTTATGGCACATTATGGTAACTCCAAAATTATAACATTTAGTCCCTTATATCTCCAAAACTGGCAGAGATAGGTCCATAGTTACTATTGAACTTGAATAGGAAGTCATATACTGGCAATCTAAGTGTGACCTTGAAATTGACCTTTGACCCACTTTTTATCATGAATTGAACTTTGCAAATTTTGGTTCTCTTTTATCTCCAAAACTAGCGAGATAGGTCCATAGTTACTATTGAAATTGAATAGGAAGTCATATACTGGCAATCTATGTGTGACCTTGAAATTGACCTTTGATCTACTTATTATCATGAACTGAACTCTGCTAATTTCTTTCTCTTTTAACTCCAAACCTGGCAGAGATAGGTCCATCATTACTATTGAACTTGAATAGGAAGTCATATACTGGCAATTTACTGTGACCTTGAAAATGACCTTTCACCTACCTTACGATGAACTTAAATTTGATTGTACCATTTTTAGTTTCATATATTTTTTGCATATATTGAAAATTCTTGTTGATTGCAAGTTTACAGCTTGTCAAGGACAAGACTGGTGGCTGTGTCCCTTATTTTGTGTATGTAGGGGTCTATACGTATGCGCTTGCTCCAGCTGGTGGTACAATATTCGGAGGCGGTATCGCCTCTCTGATCCTCTAGTTTTATGGATAGTTTCAGTAATCATAAAGTATTTATATTGCATAAAAGAGGGGAAGGAGGTCTCTTTTGAAAATGATGCTTGCAATTGTTTTGATAAGCCTCATATTTTGCCTTTTTCTCAGCAATATCAGCCTCCCCATTCCCCAAGCAATTCCACTAACTAAGGCAGTGTACATGATTGAGTAATTTTGTTCGAAAAAGGAATCCAACTGAAGTGGTGCATGGCAAATAAATGTCATTAATCAATAAGGTAACACCAGTATTAATGAGTTACAACTAGTAGTCTATATCATAATCAGTGGCTACCAGGTGAATGGGGCCTGGGTTGGTGAAATTGAGATGTGAGTAACTCTTTTCTTAAGGTTATGTTATGAAAGAGGTGTCAGTTTTCTAATGAAGTTTTACGCTATTTATCTGAAATGTAAATTCTTAATTAGAATTATAATAAAATGGTTAATTCTTTAAAGTACAAGAATCCTTTCATTTTGTTTCTGATCTATCAGAGTTAAGGCAAATATAAGGCCATTCACACTGACAATTCCGACGGCTGTTAAAGCCTGATCGCGGTTGTATTGTGGTTAACTTTTTCTAATGTGAACCAATTACGTACCCCCACCGACCACAGTCCAAATAAACACAGATTTAGACTAAGGTTCTATCATGGAAAGCTCTAAAAAGCAGACAAGAGTACAAGTGGGCAATTCATCAGACTTTAAGTCTGCTTTTCCTTCTTGCCACACACATTTGCCAAAATAAAAATGCATTTTATTCCCATGAAAGTGTTTCTTGACACAAGTTGACTAAGGCTCTATTCCCATAGATTTTAGATCGATCTATCCCCGCGGGGAATCTCACTAGATTACTTTCAGATAATCCGACTTAAATGTCCGTCCCGCCTACTACAAGCTGTAAGGGGGTAATTAACTTTCGTGTCCACCCGGCTGACAGCTATTTAGCGTGAACCCCCAGTGAGTTTGGTCAATCTAAAGTAGGTCGTCTAATCTATGGAAATGGGGTGTAAATATTTTGTACAGCATAACAATCATTGAACTTCCACCATGTTGTGCATATTTCTTTCTAATTAGAACAGTAGTACGGATGCTTTACAGGCAGTACGATAGGTAAAGTCTATCACTCTTGGCATCAGCATGAAGTTGTGAACGCAAAGACAGTGGGTTCATTTGACTGCGATTCTATAGACTTTCACTGGACCGCGGTTTATTTGCTAGTGTGAATGGCCCTTATGTCTACATCTTGTTAGATAAGAAGCTGGTCATTTTGCCTTTGGCAATCAATAAAAAGGACTTTGGTCTGAATAAATAAGCCAATTTGTAAGTGCTTACTGATAGATAAGGTACCATGATATTATAAAGAAACATTGTTTCAATTTAAGTCATAGTGAATAACTGATGAAGTGGCATTAATTATACAAGTGGTAGTGCCATTGCTATAACTGAGGCCCTTGCCCACAGGGGCTATTTTTGGGCCTTGTAACCAAGTGTACTTCTGACCACTAGCTACTGCATACAGGGTGAAATCAATAGCCCTGTTGCCACTTAGCTAATTGAACACTTTTGTTCAGCACATAACTGACCTGCTGTTCAAATCTTTAGCCTGCTTAAAGTTTGTATATTGCTAGTGTGCCGAAGACAAAACAAGAGTTATAAACTTGTGGATTTTTACAGCATTTCTCAGCAAACTGAAAGAAAATGTTTTTTTTTTTTTACTTGAATATTTATATTTTTATGCATGCCATGATGAGCTCCGATAGATAGTTGTCTTTTGTGTGTTCCACAGTTAAGCACATAGCCTGCAACAATGGCAAGGTGAAGTGCTTTGAAGTATATGTTTACAGGTACAGAATGAAACTAGATGATATTACTATACTGTTTGGCCAGGGATGACACAGTTGTAAGGGTGTTGACCTAACTTTGTTGACCAGTTTGAAGACTAAATAGCCTGTGAAGAAAAAGAATGGGGCTTTAGAAAAAGTATTGTATGATATATATAACTACGTCGATCAGTCCCTAATAAATAGTTTGCTCTATTAAATTTCATAGCCTTATAAAGTTTCATTTCACAGTCAATGTGAATGTCCGATGATTCCTTAATTCTCTGAATTGAAGATGCTGTCTGGTCATATGGTGTCACATCTTTAATAAAAACCGCAACACTAAGAAAAAGTGACAGGATAGCTTATATCCCGACTAAAGTATCAGCTGTCAGGCTATAGAAACATCATGCAATGCACGTTATAATTCTTGGAAGAATCTAGACAACCCCAAATATTAGCCATGATTGACTGGTAATGTATCTGCAAAGAATACCACAAAATGTGCTCCATTAGTCCAAATTAAAGCAGTTTTGAGGTTCTGATTCGTAGAGTGCGTGTCCTGTAGATCATATTTATCCTCTCACCTTGATTGACACAGAAACCGTGTAAGAATGTTATGTGCCACTGGTCCTTAAAAATTGGTCAACTAATTGTTGGATGTCATGTTGTGTGTGATTGACAGTAGATACAGATGCCTCAGGTGCACAGTTCTGCAGAGAGATTTTAGAAAATGTCATGTCGTGTTTAGGCATGGCTTGCCATATATTTTGTTTTCTGTGCTTGGAGTTCTTTACAGTACACCTTTATTGCTGTGCAGTGAAGTGGGTGTGAATATCATCTCTAGTGTATTTGAAAGTTGCTACAGTTACTTTCACTGCTTTTTTGTCTGGTGATGAGGACATCAATATTTTTACTAATATATTCGGAAGTTGCCATAGTAAGCAGCTTCTTTTTATGATAAAAGAAAATGATATGCCCCAGTAACTTTCAGTGAGCTTTGCTGTAATGCACTGAATAATATGTAGTTGACAAACTAAACCTGTTTTTTTTTTTTTTTTTTTTTTTTTTTTTTTTTTTTTTTTTTTTAAATAATTTCTACTAAATTCATATAAAGCTTTAAGGCATTTTCTCTTCTGAAACATTTTAAGAACTAATGTGATATCAGTAGTTTAACTGCTGATATATTTTTATCTCAAATACATTATTTCCATCATCAACTGTTAGTCTGACCAAGACATTAATTTTCATTATAATACAGTTGTTATACAATTTTATAACAAGGGCTCATCAACCAAATTGAAAATTTTATTTGTGAAATAGTTGAATTCTTATTATATAATAACATCTAATCAAGAAAACCTGACAATGTGATATAAAAGATTCCCCAATCAAATCGGTAAATTACCCAAAAATGCTTGTAATGGCCACAAACCTCAAAGTTCTATGTAGCAAACTGTCATGCCTTGCATGCTTTATCCAGTGAAAACAAGCCATTTTATTTATAAGTCATCAAAACACCTGTCTCCTGTCTACACCTGTGAATAAATGAGAGTTAATATAGGCATCCTACTACTAATATAAAATTCCACAAAGGACTGTAAAGCACAGCAAACTGTTTAAAATTTCTGAAGTATGCAATGATATTGATATCAGTCTTATCTGCTGTTCAGCTATTGTATCACACAGGCATACAAGTACTTACATTACATCCTTTCAATAATCACCTTGATTGCTTCTCTTTTATGAACTTTTTACACATACTCTTGGTGATACACTCAGGTGACATGGAGTTCAGGTCAAGTGCAATTTTCACTATTATTGTTCATTGTTATTTTTATTTTTTTTTTTAGGATTTATCAAGTTCCATTGCCTTGTTAAATGTTAGAAGTTTTAACATCCTCTGTAGTAGTAGTATGGCACTGTGTGTAGGAAACTTTCCTGTTCTTTTCCTTGAAAAATGCATCTTCTTCTGAACAAGGCAACTTTGACAAATGTCTGAATAGTTTCTGGTAGCCAGCACGCACCTCTTGTAGTCTTATCCCATAGATGAAAGGGTCGATCAAAGCATTGGCTAGAAAGAGTAGATTGGTCACTTGGTGAAAGATGACAAATTCCATGGTGAAGTGGGTCCCGGCCATCATGAAAATGACCAAAATGCTATCAGCAATACCAGGAATCCAGAATAGGAGCACTGTTCCAAACAAGATAGCAATGGTGATGTTAAGTTTGTGATCAGCATGGTGGCTACGCTCTTGTTGGTGGACTGCTGAAGTCAGGACACGTTGTTTGATAGCATAAAACATTTGAATGTAAACGATAACAACTAATGCTGTGATGAGAATCAGGAGGACTGTGAATGTAGCCGATCGGATGACTAAGTAGTTAGAATTTTCACCATAAATATTGCATCCTGGATCTTCAAACAACTTTGGGTAGCCTGCTATGTGCAGAATTACCCCAATCAGTGCTGTGGCCACCCACAGAGCTATGATAGAGCCAGCTATTCTGCGCTGTGTGGCAATTGTCTGGTAGCGCAGTGGTTTGGTAATGGCAAGATACTGGTTGACAACTAGAGCAGAGGTTGCTAATACAGGTGTGAGGAGGGCAATGTACGACATCTCCATGATGACACGGGCCACAAACACCATAGAATCACACTGGTCCAAATTGAAGTTGACCAGCATTATAAGAGATCCCACAGCAGCTAGACCCACTACCACCAGGTCTGAGACTGCCAAATTGATGAGCAGAAGGTGAAACGCTTCAAAGGGTCTTCTCATATTCAAAAGTGCTATCAGTGATATTAAATTTTCCACAAATCCAACAAATCCTATCACTACCCCTGCTGTCATGAACTTAGCAAACACTGAGGCAGAGTCTTGATCTGTTGTGTTCACATCTATTCCAGGGGTGGTTGAGTTATTCATGTTGACTGGTGGTGAGAATCTGAAATGATTGCAACTGACTCGTCCTATCTTAAGTCTCCTGTGTCAGCTGTTATTTTTTAATTGTATGAAATGGGCTTACGTCTGATGACCAATATCTTCTACACTGCCTTCTTCCTTCATCTTAGAACTGTTTGAACTTCCACTTTGTTCCTGGCACAGTGAGGTTAACTCAGTTAATGTTTTTAACTTAACTTTGGTGCCGACCACTTAACACCAATAAACATACTTTGTTATCTTGGATTTTCTTTCCCCATGCTGGACTTGTATCCAAAGGCAAATAATCCATTTGAATGAGCTGGGCATTCTATTTCCATGCTCCCTCACAGATGTATAAATACCTTCCTAATCCAATAAAGTGTGGTGGGTTCATGCCCTTTCTGACAAGGTTACAATTACACAGTTACACAAACAAACATTTAGAATAATTTTACCAGCTAGCTTTTGAAAAGTTTTTTCTCATCTGAACTCACTGAAGCTCCTCCCTACCTACCGCCTTATGTATGTCCATTCAGCTAGCTGACTTGATACTAGTGCCATCTACCTGCAGTTTGCCACACTGCAAATAGTCATTGAAGAAGCATACGTTAACAACTAGTCTATTGAATTTCTGCCAACTGACTGTCAGGGTTGGCAAATCTTGTAGATCCCATGTTTCCTGTGACAGTGTGCTTACATCAGCACCATTTGATCAATGTTGTATATTGATGTGTATATTTGGTAATTATCTGATGTCTGATTAAGAGACTGAATGCATCTATCATGTATTTTTCAGCTAGTTTTATTATTAATGATTATCAATACTGGGAGGATGTTTTCAGTAGATTACCAATTTTCTTGTACCTAAAAAATGCCAAACATGTAAATAATGTATATGGCTTCAAAATGAGGTCACTCCTTTTTAGCACCTATTGCTCTTTTAAAAATAAATTCTATTATAAGATCAAACTTGAAAGATATTTTGTCCCCACCATCAATAACTGTGTACTAAAAAGGACAAAAAATAACATCTTGGCACCTAATGGGGTCACTTCACACATTGTCTATATTCAACTTGAGATCTTTTGAACTGATATGGGAATGCCTAATTCTCTTTGAAAATATTGTTTTCTGTTATGGGATCACCGACTCTCCAGTACACATAAATGGATATAGTGGAATGATCAGTATAAGCAACAACAATCACTGGATGCACATCAGCCCTAATACACCCATTGTTAAATCAATGGCAAGTTAGTTACAATGCAAGTGAAAATAAGCATAAAATTATGTGTTGATTTAACCAATCGCACATTAGAGCTTCCCCCTCTGCTGGCAAGGGCAATTAAGTTGAAGTCAGACTCTTGGAATAGTGTCTACTCAGTGATTGGACTTTCTAACCCAGCAACTTGTTTTCCTCTGGGAAACTAATGGAATACGATTACAAAGCATTGTTTTATCTCAAATTGGGAAAAAATCATCAGATGGTAAACTTAGCTCTCCAAGTTCAATGTTATGCACATAATTGCATAGATATCAGCATTAGTTGGTTCTCTCATGTATCACCATATGAAAAAAAAAAATTTTTAATTCTTCCTCTTTTTTACGTACTTATCTGTATATAAAAAATTTTGGACATCTTGTCTGCACCACTTATAAATAATGAATATAAGGCTGTAGCCCATAGGTGAATCGATGACAAACTAAGTCACTTAATCTGTATGGAGTGGTTCAGGAGAGACTAATAACAGTGGTTGCTGTCAATCTCAAGTTACAGGTGTATATAAGTTCATGTGCTGGTTGGTGTGGCCTGTAGACCACAGGACTAGACACATTGTGCTCTTGATATGTTACTTCTGAATATGTGGAAGACACATGTGGTCTGCCCAAGTGTGCCTTTATCACATTTCACCTGAACTTTATTCAACCTTCTGGCAATGCACACTAAGGGCTTTTTGTCTTTTTTTTTTTTTTTAGCTATATAGTTGGTGTTAAGTTTTAACTCTTTCTGGTAAAAGTTACTGCTGACAACAAGTGACTCACATTTGTTCTAATAGTAAAATCAACATTCAAGCAAATAGATACATACGTTGTAGGAACAGTCGTTTTACCATTTGTGAAGCTTAAAGTGAGAGTTCAGGTATTTCCTTATGATTAAAACTCATCAAGTGTATTCAAACTCGTCAACTATTTACATGTATCTTGGAATCAATATTAAGAAGATCATGACAGAAGGCAGAAGAATTAAGATATGTTAATTGCTTTGTGATAAGACTGATTGGATATATGCTATCTGTAATCTGAAAATAACATGGGAATGTATGCAGTGGTTTTAAATTTGTCTTTAAAAAGAAATGGATTGTTTGCTTCATATGATATTTCAGAGTTGAAATATTTGCTTTTGATGAATTTTTTCTGTTCAAGTTAATTTCTTGTATTTATATCCTTGCTTCATGAGGATCTGCATGGACCAAGCATAGATTAATGGAGAAGTTCTCTCTTTTAGTGTATATTGTGTAGTGTTATATTATGAGCCTTAAGAACTGAATCCTTTTTTTTTCTATTTGGGTGAAGGGAAAAAGTCCTGTGTGTCTAAAGATGATGTATGTGTTATGGGTTAAGGTAAATATATTATGGGAAATAATTAAAACATATTTTTTATTAATTGAAATTATCCCAAAATGTTATTTTTGTTTCTTTTAAGAATTATCAGGAAAAAAGAGGAAACCTGTCACCTTGTGCACTTCTGTACTGAAGATATAAATTCTGATCTCCTAGACATTGTTGTTAAAAGATGAGATGTCTGTGTGGAGAGTCATCTTCATAAATTTTTGTTAAAAAAAGGTTAATGAACCCCAAGTTAAGAGAATTATGATGGTGATGATGGAGATGCCCTCCATAAAGATTGGCTTACCTTTGCATACACAATCAACTCATGCTGGTCTGTAATTATTAAATGATGCACTTTGCTTGCTAGATTGTAATACCAATGCAGTTGAAATGTCAACAGCAACTGTAAAAGTTACTTGTCTGGTAACAGTTGATATTGGTGAGACTGGTATTTGTCAGGATATATGTCTTACAGAAACAGATTCAAGGAATATCAAACAAATCATGCTGAAATAATATTAAATCTTCTGTATCCTCCTTCCCTTTGCAACATAAACTCCCTTGTTCTTTTTCTTTCTACTTGCATAAATAAGTAAGCAGTTTACTACAGTGGCCTTTCCTCACTTAGTGAATTTTGATATGAAGAATACTGCAACCCACCTTTGCATATAGAATTGAGAACTGGTTGTATTTAACCATAGCAACAGGCACAAATATATATAGTTTCTTATCTTGCTTCTGTTATTTTTATTTTGTGAGACCAATCTTCATTGCTATCTACGGGTCTGGTTGGTCAGTTGAGATTCCATATGCCATTGACCAGGGGCAATTATTTCTAATATGAGATATCTGATTAGCCAACTAATACCTTTTTATCCCTTCTGGGCAGATATGAGGTCAATCACAGTGGCAGTCTGACCTGTTGAGAGTTTGTCTGATCTCTATTTAAATTTGGCATTTTTTTAAATGAAGAAGTCATATTACTGAAGTGTCTTTTGCTTTGCCCCTAGTTGAAAAAAAATCCCTTTCTTTTTTACTGAAAAAAATCAGTTAGTCAAATAATTTGGAATTTTCTTGAAGATGTAAAGTTGGCCAGTTGGAACAGCCATCCTCTTTACTCGAATGCCAGACGTGCATTAGCAATTAATACTTCCGTCAATGATGTAGAGAGAAATTAATGGTTTTACCTAACAGAGGTTTATTTTTGAAAACTCTGTTCCATTAAGACACGTCTTGTGCTTTTTCTTTTAAAAAAGGTGAACCTGCCATTTGCAAATGGTCAAATTAGGTCTGGTTTTATGACAAGAACAAAAAACCTGCTGTAACACTCTGTGTCTTTTACAGTGGTGCGTGCAGATTAACCTTTAGAGAGAGTGTTAGCCAGTCTTAATCAATACAACTTTGTATGTTGTATTTGTTGAAGCTATCAAGTTCCATTAAATAGTTACAGTTACTCAGGCTATCCTGAACATTTTACCCCATTAAATGTACTCAACCATTTTTTTTCTATATTGATGTTCAAAGATAGAAAGTTTTGCCATTTATGATTAAGCAGTGCATAAATGTGCCAGCATTTGCACAATTTTGTAACATATCTAATAGCAACATTGCTAGCATTTTTGTGTTTTTGATATTAAAAATATGACAAGGGATGTGTTCTCTTTTTCTTTATTACCCCTTACAAGCATCCTTATTAACAATTTCAAATCTCAAATTATGATTTGAATTAACATCTCTCATATAGGGGCATGTAGTGCTTACGATTTATTGTCTCTAAACTTGAAGATGATCTTTCATAAGGTCTTTTGGCGCAATTCTGTAGGAATGCACTAAAGGTCACCTCACCTCACAGTAAGAAAACATTCTTTTCTGTCGGTGAAATTGTGGTATATTCTGCTTCATGCACATCTTGAAAACAGAAATCATTTACATATGCATGTATGTGTGGCGGGGGAGATACAGAAGTGGCGAAACCAGTTTTGAATTTACCATTTATCGTTTTATTTACCTTATGAATAACTATTACAAAAAATTTGATTTGTGGTCCTCTTAAATATGCAAAACATTTATTTAAAGACAGTTCTTTTCCAACTGTGATATCTTCCAAGTAGGTTTACATACAGCTGTTTGCAGTAATTGTGTGAAGAAGCACATTTCCTAGACCTTATTTTAACCATACATTGCAAAGTAATCAGTTAGTATATACTGTTTGACCCTTTTAACTTACTTGAACTTGTTAGATAAAACTGTCTTTGATCCAGATATAACGGCAGCATCAGTTTCACAAGAGTGCATTAAAGTAGTCACTTAACACATTATCCACTTTGTGTTATTTACATATCAATCTGAACAAACCCTACTTCATCCAGGGAGCATTCACTGCATGCTTCAGTGGAAAGAGGCAGCTAGAATGTTTGTTTTTTTTTAACATAATATTAATAATGATGATTCTAGCAGTTACTATAGTGTGTGTTTGTGTGTGTATGTGTTAATTTGTCCTTATTATTATTATTTTTTTTTTTTACTTATGAAATAATCACCCATATCCATACACAATGTGTAGACATACAGTTGCATGTGTTGCCCATTACTGCAAACTGTCTATAATGATATTTAATTTACTTCTTATATTCCTTTGTTTACCTTTCACTAATTCTTGCATTTTAGATTGTTGAATTCATTTCTGTTGTACTATTGATATTGTCCAAAAAAATAATTACACTTGGTCAATCATTTTTTCTTTCATGCACTTTAAGGTGGTGAGTTACAAGGAATGTGCTAGAATTGTTATTCTACAAATATTAAAAGTGCAGTATGGCACTTTCAATAGAAATGCTGGATAGAAAATAGCTAGGCATGATTGTGACTGAATGTGCTCAGTGCAGCAAACACATTGCTGATCGCTGTGTTATAAACAACTGGCACATTTCAGTCAGTATTTATACTCAGCTACCAGCTTAATCAGATGTAGCATCATTTACAAATTACAGTATTCAGAAGGACAGGGATTTTTTTTAATATTGGTCATTCACTACACTCACTAAGCATTTTTTTGTTTATCCTG